TTTTAGTCCACTAGGGGAGGAACTAATGCTCCAAAGGGCTCAAAGTATTAGAGATGCTGTTCTGGGGTTAAGATTGAGAATTAAAAAGCTGCCATTGTGCTTATGCCTTGTAATATTAATTTGCTTTACATAAAGTATCTTTCTGTTCATTTGAGTTTTTGCATTTATTTGAATAGTCTTTCACTGAGAGCATTACTCTATGTAGCTTCTTAAATAGTAACAAATCGTCATGAAAACACAGATAGTAATAGATAAAAAGTGGAAAGTAGGGGTGTAACGATATGCCCAGGTCACGATATGATACACATCACGATACTGTGTTCACGATACAATATGTATCACAATATTTTAAGCAATTATTATAAATGAAACAAAAATCTGAAAAACTGATTTATTTCAAAAACATTAACAAATTTTAATAGCTTTATTTGTTGTACACACAAGATCACATTTTAAGGTTTAATAAAAACCTTCTGTATTCAAATAAACAACTAAATATGTCTGTCTTTCTTGAGCTTTTGCACTCAACTGAGACCATGTTGCTGCAAAACTGCGTTGTTTTGACGTTTGACCTTCTTTTACTCTTTTTGCAGCGGGGGTTTGCAAAAGTTTGTTCTTGTGATGCCGTTTTAAATGGAACATCATATTCTAAGTGTTTGATGCTGTGTATGGCTGCTTTGTATTATAATGTTTACAAACCGTTTGTGTTTTATCTGTAAACTTTTTACAGTCATTCTGTTGCGCGACAGGAAAGCCAAAATGCTGCCAGACTTCAGATTTAAATGAAGACGGGGCATCTTCAATTTGTATTTTATCCGAACTCATGCTGCCTATTTGCCTTTAGTTCAAGCGATTTCTGCAACTGAGACGAAAGCGCGCACGTGACGTTGCTGCAGCGTGGGTCACGTCGGCAGCTGAACCAATAGGATCAGACTGGCGTCATTTCGTAAACGTTTCGCCACCACTCTACAATACATTTCATAACATTTTTGTAACGCGGAATTTCGTACTGCGATATATCGTTACACCCCTAGTGGAAAGTGTTTAAATTCTTGATTTGAAAATATTTTAGCTTTTGTTAGGTGATGCATTAATGACTTTTAACTCAAATACTGCAGTATGTTTTCACTTACATGAGCGTAATGACACAAAATAAACCTTAATGAAAGATGTTTTCTTTAATTGAAAAACAATGAAGGACTCACTAAGTGACATAATACGTAGTATTTTAGCCCCGCCCATTTCAATAAAGGATCTTTAGCTCCACCTTCACTTTGACAAGATCACCATAGGAGCCATATGAGGTTCCACAACAAAATCAGTTAACATTCAGAAACCAGCTCCTAACATTTCTCAGCTTACAGTCAATATGATTGGGATGTGCTAGCTGCAGTTAGTATTAACATGTCAATGTCTTTTTATTGCCTCATGTTGGATTCTGATTGCTTGATAAGACCCCCATATGATTTGCATCTGCAGAAAACTGGATTCTTCCGATTAGTCAAAGTCAGCTCTATCTTACACTAGCTATCTTTTACAATGGAATTACAAATCATTTGTGCCTAAAATGATTGCATGTATACATTTAGCAGACATTTAAGTGATTTGAAAAAGAGTTTTAACTGTTGTTTAAGAGTTGAAGTCAGATTGAAAAGAAGCTGTGAAAGAATGAGGGAAGAATGTATTTATCAGTTTGTTTCCAATAAAGAATTTACAAGAGTTTGGGAAGGTAGGAGGCTGCTGATCACGTGACTGCTCTATAAGCAACCATTTGTTTTTTAAACGTAACACCGGCAGCAAATGGGAGCCAGTGGAGGTAAATGAAAAGAGGAGTGACACAGGTTCTGGATTCCATAAAAACCAGTCGAACTGCAGAGTCCTGGATCATTTATGGAGACCTGACTGCAACCGAAGGAAATCCAGCATGAAAAGAAGGGCTTAAGCTGACACCATTATTACTCGGAAAACATTGTTATCATGACTACTGTAGGCAGGGAAAATGATAACTGGTTTCAAGGTTTACCGTGGTTTGAAAAACCAAGGTTTTAAAACGAAAAAAAAAGTTATACTGTTCATACACATTTTTTGTGTCATCAAAGATGGAAGATGGAATCCAGAAGTCTAGGGTAAGGGTTAGATTGCAACAACCTTATGTAAAAATAAACTATAGTGATGTGGTGACATTGTTACGTCATCATGGTGTCGCTTTGCTCCAATCTGCAACGAGGACCCTCTCTGTAATATTTGACTTAAATATTTATATTTCCAATAGAAATATGGGTTTAAAAATTATGAGATCTCTTTTCGTCCCACATTCATTAGGCTAGAATGTAGACAAACAGATGAGGTGATGTAGACAAATGAACATTGTTACCAATCAATTATCCAAACTGGGTGAAACACCACAAAGGACATAGCCTTAGAAAGGGCAGAGAAAATGTTTGGATTGGTGTTCAGAGATGTAAACAGCATGACAGGCAAAGACGAGCAGTGTGTGGTAGTTATATAGAATGGAAATGCATTAGTCATTCTTCACTACTGTTGGGTGCTTCAATGTTACTACGTCAACCCAAATGAGGAAGTAGCATTGAACCCTAAACCTTAAAACCAAACCCTAACTTCAGTTTGTTTTAATATATAGTTGACTTCTCATGTTATTCTGTGTGATTTTCAGAGATTCAGGTTTGACAAGGGCAGATGGACCAGATACGTTGTACTGTACCGGGAAATGTTAACCAATAATCTTGAAGCACGGTGCAGCCGGTCTGGGCGTGCACGGCTCGGTCCACACGTACTCCTTTTACTGCAATCAGATACACTTGAGAAATTAAGGTGTGTCAGGTGTAGATGATCAGGGCAATGTGGATCCGGTGCACACAATTTGGTATTAATTAAGGGAGCCAACCCAGGGATTACACAGGGCACTTCTTGCACACTACAATGAACACAAAAGAAAGAATAAAAGACGTTCATGGTAAAGTTGTATATTTTTTGGGCTCTCTGTACTTTTTCAGTTTGAACAAACAAACTTGTTATTATTGAAATGTATATTAGTTCCCATATTTCTACTAGTTTGCCACATTCCATGCAACAAGTCTGACCACCTAACTTTTAGAACTGCTTAACATCAAGCACTGGTATATTCTAACTAGCCCAAAGTTGAACAACAGTAACCCGCATCTTATTTGCTATCTTTGCAAGTTATCGTGGCACATAGTTCTAATAAATGGGGTTTATTTTAAAATCCAGTATCTGGCCTGACAAACAGCTTAAAACTTCAGCGTAGCAAATTTCAGTAATAGCAACTTCTCTGTAAACATGATCAGATGTTTTCAAATCCTTTTTAAGCCGCAGAAAGACCATTTACAGCCATATGTTTGTCTGGAATCATCAAATGTAGACAGGTGGGTTTAATTAGGTAGAATTTAAAAATAAACAAACGCATTACACAAATATAAGACCCGGGTTCCGTGACCCACATCTAGCTTTACTTCAGCCCGGTGGAATGACTTATAATTACCATAAAACACCCCTGAAACTTTAAGGTTTTGAGTTCAACACACAATTCCCAATGAAAGCGACGGCAGGGTTCGTTGGGAACACATTAATGACACAGGTGCGAGAGCGTGATGATACCCAACAAAATCAAGTTCGTGACAGCTTTGACTTCCTTCAAAATAAATAGGAATTCTTACCTTCAGCCCAAGTGTTCTGGGGATTCGGAGAGAACTTCTCAGCGTCTTTACACACACTGCATATAATATGTGTTGACAGCGACAATGAGTGAACGCTGCCCGGAGCGCACGCGAGCACGGAATGGTAGCCCGAACGGAAAGCTGTCTAGGCAGACTCCAAGCAGGAGGCTGACGTCTTCCAGACTCGTTTTGCAGTAACGTTGTCTCCCTCGTGGTGATTGAAATAAACAACAAGGTCGCGGTGTGGTTGTCTGCACGGACAGAAAGCTGGTTGGTGTTGTGATTCTCGGGGGCAGTCGGTTTTCCCTCTCGTGTGCCTCCTCTCATGCAGACTAAGCAATTGAACGCTGCCGCGGATGCTCGAGTGTGGAGCGACCCACGGAAACCTCGAGCGTTCACCACCGAGCGATGATGAGCTCACTGATGAAACAACAGGCTGCTCTGTGGGCTCACGCTGGAAGACAGCGTGCTTAGTGTTAATTACTCATGTAATATAATGCTTTACAGCAAAGACTTGATTTCATTTTTAAAGGATTTGCTATTTTCCAAGCCAACTCATTTCTTGCCGCTATGCAGAATATTACAAATACTAACTAAAGTGCATTACCTGTCCAGGAGAAATAAATACTGTACAACCCATACAATTCCCAATAAATAAAATTTTTGAAAGCGTACAACAAAACAATACAAATACTTAAATTGACCAAATTTCAAACTGTGTTCATCTGTGAGGTTTAAATAAAAATGTATTTGATAGAAAATTGAATTTAAGGTATTCACTTAATCTGAAATATGTTTTTGTCATGAGGATGAAACCGGAGTACCGAGTTTCTATTTTCAAGTAGAAATCTAGAAACTTCCTCAGTTTGGACACTGGTGCGTCTCGAATCGACTCATTTAGTATTGCTGCTGCTTAACTTGTCATGCTTTGGGGACTTTTCCACTGCATTCTATAACCTAATAAGACTTATTCATGCCCATGACCATGAGGTTCATTCCCGCTTTCTGCCGGTGTCTATCTCCAGCACACATTGGGCGAGAGGTGGGGGTACACCCTGGACAGTTCGCCAGTCCATCACAGGGTAACATTCACACACACATTCACACCTAAGGGGAATTTAGATTATTCAATTAACCTTACCGCATGTTTTTGGGGATTGTGGGGGAAACCGGAGTACCCGGAGGAAGCACAGGGAGAACATGCAAACTCCTTACAGGAAGGTCACCGGCGAGCCTCAAACCGACAACCTTCTACCTGGAAGGCCACAGTGCTACCCACTGCCCCACTGTACCGCCCCTTGAGCTAGGCTCGTCTGGAATTTGAACCCGGGACCTCTCGCACCTTTTCAGAGAATCTTACCCCTAGACCAACGATTCGACCATGAGGTTGTAAAATCGAACTATGTCGGGTCGAGAAAGCAAAAACAAAGCATGGATGTCTATCCTCGTGCATCAATGTTAGTTCTCAAATATCTGACTTGAAATAGCAACTAAAGTGTGTGTGTGTGTGCGTGCGTGTGCGTGTGTGTGTGTGTGTGTGTGGGGAGGGGGGGTACATCCACTTATGTTAAAATCCAGACGAAATCCAACAGTACTGAACGGAAGTGTTCTTTACCATAGTCTGGAAATTTCTTGGACATACTCACTGTAATGCTACCAATGAAGGGTGATCAAGTGTAAGTAAACCACCCACTTTTATTCACACTGAATATGTATCGAAGAACAACCGTCCTCAAAAAGTAGAACTGTAACATAGTAGAGGTGAGCATTCCACAGGAGATGGAGTTGGAGATGAAGGTGAGAAGTTTCTGCCAGGGGACAGGTGGAGCCTGTGATCTGCCTCGAGATGAGGGATCATGAGGGAGATGTGAGCTGCGGTGCCTGTGATTGGCTGGTTGAGTGATCGTGAGCGTTACTGTTTCGTAGGTAGGGACTGGATTCCTGACACCTGTACAGGTCGCCACACTAACTTTAATCCAGTTTTCTCTCGAATTTTGTCATTTTAGAAGAAATGGAAGGCACAACAATAGAAAAGATTGAAAGCTAAGAATCAAACCAGGGAGCATCCTTTTGAAGAGAATTTGAGAGCAAACATTCTCCTTTCATCCATTTCGAAGCAACTTTCTAATACCAAATACACATTTCAAGAGTTTTCTTGAAAAACTCCACTATTTGCTTGTTTGATGTCTTGATTTGGTTTATGCTGAAAGCTACTAAAAGAAACATTTTGAAGCTCCTCTTGCTTATGAAGTTAGTGAAGGAAAGGCATGAAATCTCCCGCGAGACAATGTTCAAAGAATCTTAGTCTCATGGGTATATAAACCCAGTTCCTATCAACCCAGTGGGGATTCAGCTAGCTTCATTAAAATGTTGACCATTTTCATCATCTTCTCATGAGTCAAGAGAGGTTTTGTAGTTTTATTCTAAAATCAATTGAACGATTTGTGACCTTATTTTCTTTATTTGTTATTCCCTTGTATTTCAAATGCTAATGCTGGAATGATTGAGATGTACTTTCTGTATATTGTTTTTTTACCATATCCCTTGCACCTTTTCACTGTTTTTAATCTGCTTTCCAAGCTTGAAGATATAAGACCAGTTGTGAAGGAACATCCTTCTACCGATTGATCAGATCTGATCATTTAGTTTTTAAGAAGGGGGGCCAGCTTAAAATGACTACATCCATAGTTTGCAGATTCCCCTGCTGCTTTGTACAATTATTCATGTTGGTGTGATGCACAGCAGGCTATGGTTCTCAGAATGTTTAGGGTCAAAAGATCTGCTCGATTCGTGGGTATGAAGATAATTGGCCTATTTGTGGAATGTCTACAAATGACAGAGGGATTTAAAAGTAGAAGAAAAAAGGTCATGTGATTGTATTTCTGCAGCCCCCCGCCAAAAAAACACACTTACAGACTGTGAAAAATATGTATCCAAAAATGTTCCAGAAGAGCAACTTGGATTGAAAATCATACGGTTCTTAATAAGCAAGATTTGGATGATTAGTCATAATTGTAATTTTAAATAATGGATTTTCATTGAATAATTTGAATAAAATGGAAAATAATTTACATTTTACAAAGGACGGGTGAAATGCTTCTTAGAGAGCCACACTTTAGTTATGTTGGTTGTGTGCTTGGGATCATTGTCCTGCTGTAAGACCCAGCCATAATCCATTTTTAAGTTTACACTAGAAGAAGTGGGTTGGTGACCACATTCTCAAGATACAAGGGCACATCCATCCTCCCCTCAATGTGGTCCAGTCATCCGAACCATACCTCAACTGTGAGAAACTGTTTTTTTTAACCCAGAAAATCATATGTTATGATTTTTAAAATGATGGATTTCCATTAAACAATTTAATGAAACAATAAATAATCAAAAACTAAGCATTTAAATATTTACAAAGGTCAGATGACATGCTTCTAACAAAGCCACTCTTAAGTTGTTCTGGCTGTGTTTTGGGTTATTGTCATGCTGTAAGTGTAAGGTAAGCATTGACCCAGTTTTAAAGCTCATACTGAGTTTTTGGTCAAAACTTCAAGATACAATAAAAGTAAATAAAAAATAAATACATAAAATCACGACTTCCTTCCAGAGGGGGAAACACCACATCATATGTTCACTCCCCTGAAGATGACAAAACTGTCCAGCTGAAACGAAGCATCTACCCCCACATGGTGGCTTTTAAACTGGACAGTGGTTCAGGATTATAACCCTGCCAGAATTGTCTTGACCGGCTTTGTCTTTCCCAAAGAGCAGTCTCCCACCTCCAAAAGCAAGATGACATGCCCGACCTTTCTTTTAATAATTGGTGCCAGTTTATCAGGAGGTGATGATTTTGTTCTCCTGAACTCGTTACATGGAAACAGTGCTTTATTTGCAAACATTTTATGTGATATTCCAGTTTTGCATTTATTTAATTTGCTTCTGACAGAAATATGGCTAATGCAGTCATCCTGACCCTCTGGAGAAAAACATCCTCAAAGCACATTTCTACCTTCATGCTTTATCGTATTGGACTGTATGTGTCCTAAAATGTCGAGCAAGGCCTAATGTCATTTTCTAGATTGAGGGTGGTACCTACAACGAAAACTGCTCAAAGCTCTCCATTCTTTACAAGTCGGAAAACTTACTTATTTGCCCTACTGTATAAATCCCCCTGCAAACACGTGTCACTATAACCGTGAATTTAACTTACCCCTTTCTTCGAGGCCTAGTTTTTTATTAGTTAATTTATTATTAAAGAGAAAAAGTTTCCATTTATACTCTGGAATGTTCTGTGAATCAGACCACCACTGGTCCAGCAAATACAGTTGTATGTTCCGTACAGTGAAGATGAAAACACAAAGTGTTACTAAAATTAACAAGACGCAGGGGTTGAAAAGCCTTTCAACACATCACCCTCAACCTTGACAGAGTAAAAGAACCAGAAAGAATTGATCCCAGAGGGAAAGCACTGAAAGCAGAGAGAATCCTCAGTGTTCTAAAACTGTAGCATCCATGAGGTTTTAACATTAGACTGTGTAGTTTGTCACGGATGCTCGGCACTCCACAAATTTCCCTGACAACAAAAGCAAAGAGCTCATGTTCCCAAAGGTATGAGTGCATTTGCCTGTCTGGGCAAGATTCTCCATAATATTTCGAAGCTAATGAACACATTATAAATCTCTGACAGCATAATATCTACAGTGATGAGTTCATCCCACTAGAGGGTCATTATATTTGAGCTCTTATTGACTCTTTAGGCAAATTTCAAAAAGAAGAAGATGGATGATGAATATACATAATATTTATTATCATACCCTCTCTAATTCTAAACCCTTAACCATCCCTGCACGAACCGGCACATTTGTCAATCACACCGGCTGTTTTGAATTGAGTAGGAATGATGCAACCCAAGTATTGTTCAATTTTGATATAGAATATAATGTGTAGGTTCCAAAAAGGTTATCAGTTTTGATGTTTTTGTTTATAAGAGATTACAAGAGATTATATAATTTGCAAGGCAATTAAAATTAAATTGTGCGATCGACAGTTTCATTTTACAGACCCCAAATTGACCCCATCTAGTGGTGAAAAGAAGGGATATCCCTTGGAAGTATAAAACCTGTGATATGGCTTGTGTTTTTCAAAGTTTTCAAGGGGCTTGGAACAGTGTATAAGACTTGATAGAAGTTCGTTTTTTTTTTTGTTACAATGTTTTGACCTTGTTTTTGCTTTTTCTGCAACCTATGAATATTTATTTTATCTCATCACTTTGGATTTTTATATTAAAACATATTTTTGCAAACGACAAAATGTAATACTCTGAATTATATTTTTTGTACAATTTCAGGTTTGTTTTGGAATTATTGTGTAATGTATTGAAATAAACATTCATTTAAAAAGTAGCTGGGGTTGAACAAAAAGAATTTCATCACAAAACTGTTTATAGTTAATCTATTAGACCAATAATAGTTATAGTTAATCTACTTTTTAAAGAAGTAAAATAAAACGCCAGACTTCTAAGGGATGAAATGCCAGACTTCTACTGGCTAAAATGAGAAACACAGTGAAAATTTCTATAAACACTGATTAACAAGAGTGATTTCCAATTAAAAATTTGTTATATTTTCCTGAAAAGCTTGTATGTTGCGAGTTTTTAATTTTCACTGTGAAGGAAAGACTGTTTTTTACTGTTTTTATGGTCTTCTCAGTCTGTTCTTAGGTTCTCTAAAATGTCACAGAGTGTAATACAGATTTCCCACTGGATTTAATTAAAGAAGATGCTACGTCACATTATGGCATGTTTTTCTCATGAACAACCCCACTGCATTTAGAGGCACTTAACCGGTTCTAGTTTTTACTGCTTGCTTGTGTACTCTTTACAGAATCATTATCATTATGTGGGTCTAAAAAACAGAGTGTGCTAGGTCACATCGATTGGGGTTTATCTAACCCTGTTCTCTGCAGGCTTGAAGATGAAGGAGGAAATTTTCAGCATTTGGTCAGAAACACAAAGCCTATTAAATCCAGTGACACAGCGAGATCAATAAACTCTTAAAGTGTTTACGCTTGTCCTTTGAGGTAGATGTGCTCTCTGAATGCATTTGCATCGAATCGTGGCGGAGGGACTCTGAGCCATCATTTGCTTGTCATTATATAGATCAGTCCCAACCCTGAGTTCAAACGTGTGCTAAGTGCAGGAGAGTCATGCTTTGAGTTTTATTTTCAAGCAATAAATTAGACAAGGATGCTGCATGGGGAGACTTGAAAATGTGCTAGCAATGTGAAAGCGCTTCTGGGGGTGGGGGGGGGGAGAAGGTGAAACCACTGTAGAGAAGGATTGATGTCAATAGTACTTAACAAATAAGCCAAATGCTTATCTGTCTGCT